CCCCCCCCCCCCCCCCCCCCCCCCCCCCCCCCCCAGCTGAGGGATTACTGGGTGATTATACCTGCGAGGGCTTCCCTTAATCAGAGCCCTGACTGCAACCGACCAGCAAGTCCATTAATACCGAAAGCAGCTACGCTTATCTTCACAGGGGGACTATGCTTCTCCATGAAGTTCACCACATCCGGATAATTGGGAATCTCGGGCGGATACCTAGGAGCGTGCCAGGAACCTTCCTTCCGGCCATTTTTCTTTTTAATACACACCAGCCACACTGACCCCACTAGAGACGAACCCATTTAAGCTGCACATGCGGCAGAATTACGATCAGGCGGCGAAGAATCCCTGTCGATATATGAAATGATGGAGTGGACGCATTAAGGAGCGGGTAATTCACCTGGAGGGGAGCGGCGGACACGGCAGAGAGCTCTCCCTCAAGGTTTCCAACTACACTACTTTGAAATAACACCACATGCCCCTGAGAATACTACTCTTTAAATGACATGGCAGTAATAAAACAAAATGCAGAGTTACCCTTTCTTTATCATTTCTTTTTTAAATCCATGTTTCCAAAATAGTAGAGCTAAACTGAGGCGCCTCACTATACAGAGGTAATGGGAGATTAAAATACTCTTAAAGGCCCCGGTTTGCACTGATAACTCAATGTCTACTTCATGGCACTATTACTATACTTGAATACATGCATTAATTGTGTAATTCAGGTCCAGAGAGTAAAAGTCCAGACCGGGATTTTGTTTCAACCAACCCGCTGAGTACTCGTGACTGTGACTCTTTACGCTTAACTGGTTGGATGAAACAAAATCTTGGTCTGGATTTTTACTCTCTGGATCTGAACTACCCAACTCTGTGTATAAATCTCCTTTAAATGCAAGGGGGAAGAAATCATTCCAGTGCAAAGCACCAGTAAGAGCTCAGCACCGACCCCGCTAACAGATTACCTGTCTGCTCCTTGAAGAACAATATACTGAGCATTAAGCATTACAGTGGGCTCACTGAGACACAAATGGAACCTCGTCATCACAGGTCGGTCTACAAAGACAGACTGACAGGAGTTAATGTCTATTGTCTCTTGTGACGGCAATAAAAGTGAAACATGATCCAAGTATGTAAAACTGACGGAGAATAGATAAGGTCAATCCAGAGCACCACTTTTAATATTAGCATTGATTCAACATTGTAGTTATATAAAAATGTAAAATAGCAGGGAACCAGTTTAAACCAGAATTAAAGAAAAAAAAACAGTGGATGATAAATTGCGTAAAGTAATCAATACTGGACAGGATGTCTACGCCGCTGAATCCACAGTGCCTTATGATAACCTGAAGTCATACAGTACATAAGACAGCACGACTAAGGACAGAAAAGGCATGGTAGGAGCTTAAGGCTGAGTAAGCAAAGCGGCGTTAATCCTAGGTTTACTCATCACTTTTTATATTTAAGTGACATTACAGGGGAAAATGATTAGGAAAAGAGGAGCAGAAATGCTGATAATTAAAGCAAAGCGACATGATGAACATGCTAATTATGGAAATTCGGAAAAGGTAAAGAGGATTCCAAAAACGCACTGCAGAAACAGGCCGCCTCGCCTGCTCTGGGCATTAACAGCTGTAACTATTCCTGGCTATTGGTGTTTAGCCGTAGCCAGAGAGCAAAGGCAGACGAAAAGTCTTTGCCACGTCCAAATCCCTATTGAAAGACTCGGCCCTTGTGCCGCCGCTGTACAGAACAAGACCTTGGAACAGCCGCATACTCGAGGGAATGGACGGACCCTCCCGATTACAAACGGCGACCTTCGGAAGTCAAAGGCTTTGGGGGAGCAGCCAGTTCCTACGGCATTTGTATATCCGCAAACCGTTTATCAATGACAAAACCTGACAATCACTGACAGCGCAAACTTCACGATACAGATGACAGGGGAACATGGTTTGGAAAAATAAGAAGATTGTAAGGGTTGAGGTGTAGCAAAATTTAAAAGCTCTAGTGGTTTTAAAACTCTATCCTAAGCATGACTAAACTTAGAATGTTATGTTAATTGAGTTCATTAATATCTACTACTCAGAGTAATAGTCTCTGGGAATTAAGATGTTAAAATCACAGCAATCACATCCAATCTAGAAATTAAATATTTGCCTAGGATAGTCTGTGGTTCTTGTGGTGGTGGGGGAGGGAGGGAGGGTTATTAAATGAGGATACAAGAAGGGAGGTGCTGACCCCTGGTGGCGATCACTGATAACGTGTGATTATAAGAACATTTCCACAGCAGCGGCGGGAATGTCTTGGTAAATCATTACAGAACTGGAGTCGCTGGAGTGAATCTCTTAGTCTACTGTCTCAGACTGACCAAAGGGATGAGAAGGAACGGCACAAATGCGATTTAAATATGCAAACTATTTTTACCATCATTATCTGACTGAAATGTGTCATACTCAATCCAACGTGAACCCTCTAGTTTGGCCACCCTGCATGTAATCTATTTTGCAATTACTGTACCTGTTTTTTAATTTATAAAGCTAAAATATAGCTATATAATTTAGAACAGTACTGACCCTTCAAGACAAAAATTCAGTGATTTGCCCTAACAAGTAGCCAAGCTAATGGAATTGTTTGGTGCTCGTTCCTATTCTACTTGACATTAACTTCCTGTCATCTACTGGGAACCTGTATTCGGGAGGCTGCACCAGTTAAGATAAACAAGCACTGCAGGTAACTGACACTAAGCAATCACCGCTGTCCTATCAGAAATGCAGCACAGATTGGTATACGCATGGCTGTTGGATAGGCTTTACCTGCCAATGACTCGTGGGGAGCAACTTGCATTACGGCCCATGCACTCCAGGGCGGCGCTGTAGGTGGTGAGGTTGGGCTTCAGCCCGGCTTCTTCCACCATGATGAAGAGCCGACCGATCTGGCTCATGGAGCCCTACAAAGGACAAGGCAAGTTAGTTCACTTATCCCCATCGCATCACCTATTTCTTACTTATTCATTCTTCCCTTATTCTTATATTGCACTCTTTGTCTTTATTGCACTGATTGTTCTCCTCTCTCTCTTCTCCATGGTCCTCTTTCTTTCTTTCTCTACTTCTCTCTCTCTCTGTTCATTCGTTCATTCATTAATTCTTTCTGTCTTTCTCTATTTCTTTGTTCATTCATTCATCTTCCTGCCTTTCTCTCTATTTCTTTGTTCATTCATTCATTCTCTCTCTCTCTCGGTTTGGTCATTTATTCTTCCTTCCTTCCTTCCTCTCTCTTCTTATCTTTACAGTGTCTGTACCTGCTGTATGTATGTGAGCACTGACAACCGGAGACAAGTCCCCTCTATGTGCGAACATACTTGTCCAAATAAACCTTATGCTGATTCGGATCACATGCCCACAATCACCTACCCCCTATATTGCATCTGTGGCATTGAATTTCCACTGTGTTCCTCGCAATACTTGACAATATAACTTCAAACTGTGCTTAACTAATTTCTAGTCCTCAGTCTCAATCAAAAATGCAACAAGAGAATGAAAGCAATCATCATTAACACAGTACTGACATACAATATCAGACTGGATCTTCTGGTCTGTTTGGAGACTTACCTTCTTGGCCCACACCCTCATCATGGTGTTATAGGCACTGATGGAGAGCAGCTTACGGCGTGGGATGTGGCGGTGGTAGTGGAACAGGCAGCGCTGGGCTCGGTCCACATCTCCAGACACTACACAGGCCTCTAGGTAGCAGCACACGTTGAGCTGGGCGTCTCCATAGCGATTATTCTGGCCTTCCTCAATCGGCCGCTCGGAGATGAACTCATCAGCCTTGTTCTCTCTTACAGCCTCCTCGGAAGGAGCACATTTGGCTAACTTCTGCGGCGTGGCTTTTGCCTGAGAGACCGCAGACCCAGGAGGCTCAGATTTTGTGGCCGCTGGGCATTTTTTTAATTTGGAAATTGTTTTAAATGTGGTGCCAGGAAGCTTTTGTTTCTCTACATTTGTTATGGTCTTCACTTGCTTAACCGGGGCTTCTTGTTGCTGCTGTTGAGTCGTCTTATTCTTCTTCTTTTCTCTCTTTAATTTCTCGATCCAGCGGCTTGGGTACGTCTTAACGACTGGCATATTGGCAGCTCCCGTCTTTCTCTTGGCCTGACCCTCCTTGCAAGCATCCGCCCCCTCTTTAGGCACCCGTTTCTGTCCTGTCCCAGCGGAAGCCCTCTTCCCACCGGAGGGGACTTTGAGAAGTTGCACCTCTGACTGGTTCACGTCCATGACAGCATCAGATTGAAGCTGCTGAATCCGTGCTTCCAGCACTGACAACAGAGGAAGGAGAATTTATCATAGCATTTAAACATGCTCCTTTTATTCTGCGTTGTTCATAACATACAAACATAAAATTGACTGTAAAAAACTACAGTAACTTCCTTGAGAATGTATGTATGTATCTAAACCACCACTGACCCAACATTTAATGACTGGTACTTATGGATATTGTACACATTAATAACCATTAGTCATTGGGTTGCTGGATATTTCAAAATCCCATACTAGCCCAAATCTTTAAGGCAGACACTTGTTTAAATGTGAATATGATCCCAGCATGAAGGCTCATGGAATCAAATCCCAGATCATTTCATATCAGAAACCTTTTATAACCTTTTACACATACTACACACTATATATTCTTAAAAACCGAAGTGAACTAAGAAGTTTACTTTCATATTTACCATCCAGGAGCTGATATTGCTTCCAAACTCTTGTCTTGTCATCATCCTTCTTTGGGATTAGAGGACAGTAATTTCTCTGGAAAACTGTCCAGGGTTTCTCTGTTCAGAGACAATTAAGCCTAAACACATTTTCACCTGGCTGTCTCGATACATTCCAGCGCAATACACAACATCTGATGATTAAACCGTATCTAGACTTAAATGAGCATGGAACGTGTTCTAGACACGTTGTCTAGAACACACTATCAGAAATATGGAGTGACAGGAAGCTGTACGCTGTGACATATAATATGCATGCACCACGACAATTTATTCACAGGAACGTTACTGTTAGATTGTATAATTTTATGACATATCAATTAAATCTGATTTCATATAAATTTTGTCGGGAAGCTGAAACAACCACATTTTACTGCATTGCTTAAATATTACACACGATATTTCACATATGACATAACAGTTTCACGTATATATCACCTATCAACACATGCATCTATGCACCGGATCACGTGCATTTTGTTTAACGTGACAACCTGATACATTTCTTTGACAATGTCTGGGTCAAACCATGCAACTAATCGTGACAAAAGTATACCTGCTATTCGTCTCTGAATGTCATTTCGCGCTCTGAGACAAGCGTTACACTGTAGCAAATGGCCGGCGAATCTTTCTAGAGAGATGCGGCCAGTCAAAGACTTGGAAAAGGCACACAGTCTCAACAGCGACATGTTGACATAAGACTTCTGCACATTACCGCATTACCACTCTTCCATGCTCGACGCCATTTTGAAGAAAGCCAAGTTGATCGAACTGGAGAAAATCAAACAGGCACAGCTAGACGAGCACGGATAATTCGATCATTTCCATTCATTTATTATTTTGATTAACGTAAATTTACTTTAAGCATGTTGTATAATATTTAATAACAGTCTATAGTTCGAGAGTTTTCTCCACAATCAGGTAGTAAGTTAGGGGCGATAGGAATAATGCACTCAAGTCAGCATATAAGAAGGGCATGGAACCACAGGTAACAGTAAAACAGTACATAAAGTTTGTGTTAAACTAGCTTTTATCCGTGTTCAGTTTAGTCCTAAAATACTAGGTAAAATACTAGATACTCTATCTTGCGCTGAATTTCTATGCATTTAGGGTTTAGTATTCTGTTTGTTGATGTTATAATCTCCATACTGCCCGCAGGTGGCGGCCAAATCCAACCGCAAAAAGCACCCACAATCGACGTGAACCCTGTCTGAAAGTCGGTTTCTCCACAAAATACACTAAAATAATTTTATATAGTTTATAGCAAGCAGTGTGGGTGTGCTGCCAACTGCAGTTGCAGTACCAATAAGAGATATGAAAAATATTAAATATAATTTTAAAACAAGAGTATAACTAGGCACAGGCCTGCGTGATTAAATCCTGTATTTAATAGTTAATCATTGATCATCAGAGAAGTAAGTTCCCTGCAAGAACTTAATCTCTGTAGGGTCATCGGAGGGTTAAGGAGGAAAGGAAGACACATGTAACGAAAGCAATGCTTTGTATCAGGAAAATGTCACCTTTTACACACAAAATGAATAGCTATAACCCATATTATGAAGCTAGATGCATAACTGCAGCATCATATACAATATTTTATTGAGTTAAAGAATCAAATGCCCCACTGCCATTCGTGCTGCCTTCAGAGGAAGATTACCAGATGGACCTCAACAAAACAGCTCTCTGTGCCATCAGAGAGGCCGTGCAGTCAAAATAGCCCCAAGCACCTTGTCTTATGTTCTTTTCCCAGACAGCACTCCTGCTCCCATAGGACTGCAATAGTAAACACTCCCCTCAACTATAATGTTTACACAGCATACTCTCTCTGCTCTCTCCACCAACTAGGAGAGCTGGGGATTTCTATAGGCACCACAAGTGTTACACATGCAATTTTCTTGCTAAATACTTATCTCATCTTTTGGCACATGGTCAAAAGTATTGGGACACCCGTAGTAATTACAGGAATCAACCGCCTAAGCCACACCCATCGCTGACATACAGGTGTATAATTAAGCACACAGCCATGCGATCTCCAGTATCAAACACTGGCAGCAGAATGGTTGGTCATGCAGAAGAGGTTAGTCAACCCAGCACCGCCATTGGACACCACTGGAGACCTTTCCAACAGGTCGGTTCTCCACATTTCTGTCCTGCTAGAGCTGCCCTGGTCAACCGCAAGTGAAGTGATTGTGAAGTGGAAACATCTGGGAGCAAGTTCAGCTGGGAAGTGGCAGCCACACAAACTCACAGAATGGTAAAATGGTAAATGGACTGCATTTATATAGTGCTTTTTCTACTCCTACGAGTACTCAAAGCGCTTTACAATTTATGCCTCACATTCACCATCCACACTCACATTCACATGCTGGTGGCAGAGGCTGCCATGCAAGGCACCAACCTGTACACTGGTTCAGTGTCTTGCTCAAGGACACTTTGATGGGGGTCAGGAAGAACCAGGACTCGGACTCGAACCTGCAACCTTCCAGTTGCCGAACGATAGCGCTACCTCCTGTGCCACCATCTTCCCCACAGAAAGATCACCCAATATCAATACCCAATCTGAATAGCAGCAAAGCCCACCAGCAATGTTCCAACATCTAATGGAAAGCCTTCCCAGAAGAGTACAGGCTGTTATATCAACATAGGGTTAGCTAGCTTCATATTAATTCCATTCAGTTTCGTTAATAGACCTCTTTCTACAGTATGTGAGATGCTCCCTGGATCGTCACTCTTTTTCTGCCTGCGCCATGCACTGCCATAGCACCCACGGTGCCTTATGTCCCATAATCCTTTTAGTGCACATGTGCATTGCTGCTGTAAGCTTGAGCAGAAAGGCTTGGCAGCAATATGGCCGCCTTATAGAGCAGGACGGTGACTTCTGCTGTCACTGTGAGAGCTGCAGAACAGGATAAAGGTTCCACCTCGTCTCCAGACATCTGCTTCTCCTCAGGGTGACATGAGACATATAGGGAACCAGATATGGAGTTGTTTGGTCTTCACTACAATGGACTGCTCAGGAAAGGTGGAGCAATCTGTATTCATTTGGCTTGGTGTGTAGCACAGAGGGTTATGGATCTGTTTTCTGGAGGTTGTGAGTTTGAATTCCCTGGCTGGCCTTGTCTTTTGACCCAAAATCTTGCTATCAGCTGTAATATACATGTCTGTGCCTCTCATGAAGAGTAAGATGGAATATGTGAAAAAGACTTCCTATGTACAAATGAATAGAGTGTCATAATCGCCCAGACCAGCAGGTGGCGACCACGTTTGTGTTGTGTCCTGTTTGCGTATAAATAATCCTGAGTCTGGCAGACAGATGCCCACTCAGGCACAGCTGCTAAAACAGCAAAGCAGCGCCCGGTCAGCTGCTCAGGACTCTGTGGGAACGTGGGTCCAGCCCGACACCAGCTGCCTCTCTCTCTCGGCTGGACAAGCTTGTTTTCCTTGCATATAAGCATCAGTATAGCAAACCTGGTGCCGGTTTCACAAAGCAGGATTTCTTGCTTAGCTGGATAACTTGTTGGATTTAAGGTAGTCTGAGCTAGATGCACTTTATCTTTGTACACTTACATTTAACCCTGACTACCTTAAATCCAACAAGTTATCCGACTAAGCAAGAAACCCTGTTTTGTGAAATAGGCCCCTGTATGCCCTGACTCAGATAGCGATTAAGCAAATGCAAAATCAAAAATTGTATTTTGCACTGAAGTATTTACAATCAATCTAAATCGAGGTATGGAACGGCATTTAGATACATAAAGTTGATGGGTTTAAGAAATGACAACTTTAAATCATTGATTAATGTAGGTATATAAATATTTTATAGATTGTTACAGGGATATTTTATATATATAAAAAACTGATAATCAACTGTATCGTTTATAATAAAAAGACAGAAATTATGATAAAAACTAATTTATATATGAGATAAAATACATTTTGAAATTATGAATGAAGTATCAATTTGTTGTGTACGATGCACTAAAATTCCTACTACAGTAGATAGTCTCCGATGCAATAAATATGTATCAGAACATTTATTTATTTGAATTACCTGCAAAGGACTCAACTCATGTAGAAATTTTTTTTATACCGATTGTAAGGAATGCATGACCTTTGACCCCTAGGACAGTGTTTCTCACCCTGGTACTTGGGAACCCTCAGACAGTCCCAGCTCCTGGGGGTGCAAAACCATGGGCTGTCTGTGGGTCCCTGAGGACTGGGTTGGGAAACACTGCCCCAGGAGACAGGTGAGAGGTGTGAAGTGTTGGAAGGAAGCTGGTGGCTTAATGAGACAGCTGCTCGCCTGATTAGCAGAAGGGGAGCTTAGAGGACTGAACTTCCTTTGCCTCTCTGGCAGCGGGGGCCTTAAACCAGCCGTGGGCATTTTTTTAGTTTTCTCCGCTTACATGTTCGCTTATATTATACACAGCTGCTCGGCACAACGAAACAGCTTCAAAACCCATTTCGGAGCTATCACAATGAAATGCACTTAAAACACGCTTAATAAAAGCGCAGGTTTAAGGCACCATAAATTCAGTAGGATTGTTCTAGAATTAAGTGCTTCGGCGTAATGGGGCTCGGTGGAGCTCTGACCAAGCGACGGCGGGGTTAATTAAAAACAGGGAGCGGCGGATCGCTTTCTTCCCGTCTGCCGTTGCAGGCACGGACGTCCGGGTGCAGGTGAGGATCAGTAGGTGCTCGGTGTTATGGTTCATCAGCCGCACCACCCTGCAGTCCCCCCCCCCCCCCCCTGCCTGATGAGCCCATGCGATACGGCTGCTTGCCGTCACTGGCGGCTCTTTGCGGGGGTGTGACAGTCATTGCCGGATGACTGGCTGTCAATGTGTTGCCTGACAAAAGGCGGAAAAGATGGTGGTTCACCCTTCTAATCACGGCCCCCTTCCCAGCCACGTCGGGCGTAAAGCCCCTCACACTTTTTCCAGAGCCTTTATAGATGGATGCCGCACCTGGGGAGGGAAAAGGGGGCCATTGGGCTCAGGCTGCTCACAATCCTCTACACATTTATGGGAAAAGTGGTGTTTAAGGAGATTGAGAACCAGCAGAGACGCAGACCCACATCTGCAGCTAGGATTCGCGTCGCATTTCCATTACATTTCATGACAGAGACGTTCGAAACTGTGTGCTTGTAATATTTTATGCAATATATGATGGAGGCAGCACGGGGTGCGAGGCAGGGGATGTCCATCCATCACCCGGCGCTCACACACACACCAGAACATTCTATAAGAAACCACTAAATGCTAGTAAACCTGAACGCATATCTTTGGCCTCCCAGATGGACAGCACCGGATAGACTGGATTTTCTATGAGAATCATTAATTAATTTGATCCTTAGAGATGCCCTGCACGTACCTGGACATTAAAAAAATCTAAATACTGTGGAATGAAGATAATACAAAACAATAAGAAATAAACGGAAGAGTATTAACAGTAATAGTGTTTGTTCGTAGTATTGAATTTGGTGATGTAAAATCGTATTTAATATCAATAACCAACATTTTCCATAAAGGTTACTCTGACTGGGATAAAGAGTTTGGACGGAAAACGAACTGAAAAAAAATTACAATATGAAATATGAGCACATTTAATACTGGATGTCAGATGTCAGAATCTTAGGTTATTTATCATATTAATTCCGGCAATGTTTACTTTCGTTGTAAATGTCCCACAAAAGTGCAGTCTAACCACTTATCTAGTAGGGGGTCTCGGTGAGCCAGGCACTTATCCCAGGCAGCCAAAGGCAGGCGGGGGGGTTGGGGGGGGGGCACCCTGGAGAC